CATTATAAAATTATTAAACTCCGATTTTAAAAAAATTTGTAGATTTTTTTACCAACACCGATTAAATAAGGGATTATATCGATAAATAATTGAATTCGATAAAACGATGCAAAAATATGCAAATTTCCCTAGGTGCGTGTGAAAATTCGGGTGTCATTTTCTCTATCCTAACCACCTCCTATCTTTCAAGCCCTATTCCACCGACCCGGCACCACACACCTCGTCCACTCGATGACCATCGATTCCGCGATCGGCTCGCCATCACCCCCACCTACCCAGCAGCAGCAGCATACCCCACAGTATGCCAGTATCACACACCAGATAGGTACGGTGGCGGGGCCATCATAAATGTATGCATCATAATAGGCAATTAGCAGCAACTAACTTGGCTACCTATCTTTCAGGTTGTGTGTTGCAAGCTTGCGCCAAGGTCTCATTGGAACATTGGAAGAATCCACAACCTTAGCGGCTGATTTTTAGGGCTCAGTAGAGATTAAGGACGCTTAAAGGGACTGGGAAGAAGAGCAATATTCACTTCTCAACTTTTTTAAGGAAAAAGGGCCGGCAAAATATTTCTTTTGATTTGGGACACTAACGCGATACGCAATGCGGTGGGCAACAAGACACGCAACGCGTACGTCCCTGAACTGCCGCGAAACTGTTTTAGACGATTAGGCAGTGATAAAACGCGCGCCGCGTCTGGCGGGCAATCAAAGAAATCGACAGATATGCCTTGCTGGGTCCTTTAAATGCCCATGTTTAGGCTTAAATTTGCGACAGAAGATTTTATCGCCAAGACTTTATCGCGGCCCTGTCACGTTTTCGAAGGTCATAGAGACTATAAAAGCCTCCTGGCCATTTTCTCCGCTTTCCACCCTTTAGCTAGCATATACATTAAGTTCTTTGAAGCACTGCAGCTTAGGCTACCTACCGTTTTAAAGGGACTAGGAAGTCAAGTTCCACTTTTATTTGGCTTCCCAGTCCATCCAAAACGCACTAAAAGCTTCGATCATCTATTTCTATTTCTGCGCTTCCCTTACGCTTTTGATCCCGAATTCCAGGCCCCCGCCCCGGCCAGGACCACGATTACATGAACGTGGCCCGGGAGCCGAGTCCAAGTCGTGAGGTTCAAGGCAGCTACCGAAACCCATCATCGAATTCTGAAGAGTATCAGGCTAACGGCAGCGGAAATCGGTAACTACAGTATACTGGAGACGCAAAATTTTCATCTTAGCATTCCCCACTCCCCCCACCCCACCACCAGTACAAAGCTGACGGCCGAGGAGGCCCGGCGGCACTCCATGGACTCGAGGGCCTCGTCAGGTATAGAAGCCTAATTTTATGGTTAAAGGGGTTGGCAAATCCAAAAATTGCTGTAGACTTCAAAATACACCTGGAAAATGGTGGAATTTGCATAAAACGGAAATATGGCAATTTCTCAATGATATATGATATCGCGTATACCATATGTAGAATTACGTGTTGCTGAATCTGCGCTTAATCTTTTCACGGCGTAATCGCCTCATAACTTTTTTTTTGGCCAAAAAGAACCCAGAAAAACTTAAAATCAAGGGAAAACCGAAAAAACGGTGATTTTTTAACCTTTAAGTCTAAATTTGGGGAACTTTAATGGATTTCCGGCTTGTCAACGCCTTTAGCGCCCGGAAACATAAGAATCATAGGTTTTGTAAATAAAAAAATACGCATTAACGAATTTACGATCTTGGATGACGAAAATAAAGTTGTCGAAAAAACCATTTTACTCATTTCAAACATTTAAGGAAATAGCACTTCCCAAGCATATTTAAATTTATTCGTGATGAAATTTCGATAAAATAAATTATCGAAGAATAAATTTCGCTATTCTAATTTTCTACAAAATAAAAATCACCTTTCCAGGTCGTGGCGGTTCGTCGGGCGTCTCCTCTTCGGAAGGGATCGGTGGCCTATCAGATTTGGCGCAAATCGAGATCCTCCCCTCATCCTCTTTTCCATTCCCTACGGCGAGAGTTACTCGACCCGTCTCTTCCACCGCTGTACCCACCGTATCCACCTCTACCGTACGCCCAACCTTACCACAGCCCCCACAAAATAACCCCCAGCGCCACCCGACCGAACGAGCCCCCGAGTCACCCGTACCTCTAGTCCAATCGCGAAAAATGACGTGCATTTTGGATAAGTGTTAATTTGCATAAGTTCATTTTTTCCTAACTTTGTTTTTCCTCAAAAAAAATAGATAATTTTTCTTAATTCCCTTTTCCTAAAAAAATTAGAAAAATAAATTTAGGAAAATCAACGGAATTTGTTTTTTTGCATTTAGTGATTTTGATTTTCTACATCTTTTTTTGCGCATTTCTGCCCTCTTAAATGTTGCCCAATCACTTACGAGCTTTAATTTCTATATATACATTAATTTTCTGTCAGCATCATCTTGCCAATTATTTTTAGAAAGTGCTGGTACTTTTATGAAACGATAAATTATTTTTTGAAGCTGAAAAAAATCAGGAATTCACCGCATAAACCAGACAGAAAGGAAATACAAAAAGTCGGAAAGTTTGGTTTTAGGTTGCCATGGATTATCCTGGCGCTCCTATGCACCTGATAAGGTGCAGCAAATGTTTTCTTCAGAATGAGGGATCCTGGCAGGATTAAGAAAAGTGCAAGCTTGCAAGTTGTAGTCCTTCGTAAAGCCAACTCATGCAAGCCCTTGCTCAAAAAATTCGCACTTCATTTTCTAAGGAAAGTGTGCCTGGCCCAACCGAAACTGAACATTTTGCTGTTAAACACTGGTGTACTCTGCTCGGCAACATGTCGGCATCTTGAACAGCGATCGAAAAAGTTGTTTCGCCAAAAGAACAGCAAAATTGCTTTACAGGTGATAGATTATTCAAGCCATAGATTATGTTTAGACTTAAAAAAACGAATTCCCTAACAATAAGTCGTGCATTCGGTATTTGGTAGTCTTGGTATTCGAATTCGGTATTCACGAGCAATTAAATGAGAAGGGTTCAATTGAATAGGAGAGTTCATCAATAAATCTTGTTTTGGACTCGGATCAATTGACTTTCTTGCTTAATTTTTCGGCGGACTTGCCTTTATCTATCAGCCTCCCAATCCGAAGCATTGTCGTTATGTCTTATCTTCCTAATAAAAGCATCTTGCCAAAGTCATAGTCAGCTCCCACAGCCTTGCCCATCACTGATCCTTTTTGAAACCGGAACCCTCCAAGCCATTTTTCGGACTTGCCGCAATGTCGGAGCCCCAACAAGAAACAAGGTTAGTTCTTATAAACGGACAATGCAAAATCTTCGAAAAAAACTCTAAAGCTTTTTTTTATTATATTTCTCGAAAAGCTGTCGAATTTACATTTTCATGGGGAATTAATATGAGAAGCCGTGCGTAGCACATGAATCTCAACGTATAATTTATCCATTCGGGTTGGTTTTTCAATCGTCAAAATTTTGCGCAAATCGCAACAAGTACGAGAAGTCAGTCGTTCTACATTTACAGGCCGGCAACCGATGATGACGGGTTCAACCGGGATTTGGAGGCAAAGTTAAAGATTGCAGGAAGCAACGGTCAGACAGAAAACCGGGGTAATCAAGAAAGCTCGGCACCCACCCGATCCGCGAAACTGTCGAACGCTGAGGAAGTTAAGAAAGTATACAAATATATGTTTTGGAATGTCAAGAATCCCTCATACGGCGCAAAAACTTCAAGGGTTATATCCTACCTTATATAATTTGGTCGCGTATCTTTGTGTGTCTGTGTGTGCGGATGTCACTTTCGAGGCCGGATTTGAGGGCCTTCCCGTGTCCAAAATGCCCTAATTCTCCGTCACCCGGGGGAATCGACCCTCCTCTTTCCGATGGCGTTCTCAGAATTTTGATAAAATACAAGTTTACAAAGTTAAAGCCGGTTTTATTCATTTTTGGGGTCCCTGAGGGCTAATTTGTATAATGTGAAAAAAATACAAATTCCCTCATTCTTGCCAGTTGCACACGCGCGTGTCGTTGGTGGGGGGTCCGCAGGAGCCGAGCTATCGGAAAGTCAAATTTCTCAAGCAGAGGCCGCAATCCAGCGCCCAAGGCCCGCGAAGCGGGTTTTGGGCGCTGGTAAGATAGGATAATTTTGCCATAAGAGAACAGCGAAATTGCTCTGTAGGTGATAAAATGTAATGTTGCTAATTCGAGAAACCAAACTACCACGGACCAAAAGAGCAAATTGTTTTTCTACGACCCATCTTTTAAAACACAAATTACGGAAGTGTCGTAGAAACACTAGTATAATACCTAATATTACTTTACGAGTCTTTTTCCACCTATGCAAAAAATTTCGCTTCCCCAGCCGCGATAATGCGAAAAAACCTATTTTCTATATGAATGGACTGCATGTGCACAGCTTGTTTGTTATCTTCTGGCGGCGTTTTAGAAGAGCAGCCCATTATACTGAAGATGAAACGACTAGATTGCCCGGCCGCTCTAAATTTTATTACGTTCATTATCGCTGAGCCTCCGGAGCTGGAAGGCACACGGAATTGACTTGCTATCCAGCCCATTTTTCTCCGTATCGTGATCCCGCCCAGACACTCGAAAATACCTTTCTATCGAAAGCCATCGAAAATAGACCAGTACAGTTAAATCTCCCTTGCAATCAGCGTTTCCGTTCAACCATAAAAAACTATCGGTGCGCTCAGGGGTGGTACCAAAGTAGATTTAACCACCCTGATTTAACCACCCTGGTTAAAGTTTAACCACCCATGGTTACCCCAATTTTAGCCATCCATGATTAAATTGTAACTACTATGGTTAAAATTTAACCACCTAACACGAAAAAATTTAACCACCCATCCAAAATCAATTTATCCCATTTATCGGTAGAAATTCTTTGGAAGAAAGCAACGTGAACCCAATTTATCGCTTTCTAAACCATCCGTGAGCCTATGTAGAAAGCGGCTGCTATCCCAGGGCCTTCCCGGAATCGAAATCGGACTCCTCAGTGCATTCGGTCTTTTCGGTGCGTTCCGAAAATGTAGACCATTTTATAATGTTTTTAGTAGTTTTTGGTTGCTAGGAAGTTACAGAAAACAAAAACATTTTAAGGTATTTTGTAAATCTTGAATATTTTGAGCTTTTTGGCCGCTATTCATACAATTTTGGCCAACAAGTCCAAATTTCCTCGAAAAAATGGTAATGAGTTTTTCGGATTTTTATATCTAAAAGAGCATAAAATACTATAAAATGGCCTATATTTCGTTATAGAACCAACTTATCGCGAACCCTCCGCGAAACGGGGAGGACCAATTTTTCGGAAAAATTATGAATTCCTAATTTCCTACACTATACGAAAGGGCTAGGTAGACGTGGCCAAAAAGCCTGCTGCGGTATGACCGTTGGGAAAACGGCTTCCCCAAGTTACTTGTTGTGAGCGATCGGTGTCCAATTAGTGCCAATCCTCGAGGTAACAAAGTATCAAAAATATGCGGATTTATCGAGGCAATGACTGGGGAGTGATGTCTAAAGAGAGAATATCACAAAAGTGCGGAATGGGTGGGCGGAGTGCTTCCGTTTTAATCTTTGATGAAAATTTTACCGTCCGAAGCCAGAGGTGGCTAGCTTTATCCTAAGTAATTTAGCGAGGGTGGTTACATGTTTCGTGACAACGTTTTCACGGAAATATATAACCATGGGGGGTTAAATTTTTTGGAACGGCTTTTTGCCTCTTCCGCGACCGTACCTATCGGCCCTAATATCCTTTCCACTTGCTAGAATATCGTCTAAAGAAACCATATTCACCTTATTGAGGAGTTTGAGATTTTCGAGGCATTTCAGCATGGTTTATAAAAAGTAATTACTTTTTGGGTGGTTAACTTTTTGGTTTTGGCCCTCGATAGTTGTGTTTAACCACCTATAGTTAAAATTAAACCATGGTTGGTTAATACTTAACCATGGATAGTTAAAGAGAATTTAACTATATATGGGTGGTTATGGTTTAACCATCGTGGTTAAATTCCAAGCTCCTTTTCTAGCCCCTTTCCAACATGTGCACCAAAGAAAAGGTTAGCGGCATTCGATCAAGCGTTTTAAGAAACTTCCTATCCGTGATTTTTTCGATGTTTCTAGACCTCTTAATTGTCGTAGAAACCTTCCTCCAAAAGTTAGCTTTTTTACCATTGGTTTGGGCGGTTAAGAATTTAACCATGGGTGGTTATAATTTAACCATAGTGGTTAAATTTTAACCACGGTTGTTTTAGACTTTAGTACCACCCCAGGTTTTATC